TGCTATATTTACCCACTAAATATGGGTAATATAGATTCTATATTTAGAAACCCAAAAATGGTTTGGGTAAATATAAAAATTTTATAATATTAAAAATCTCTTATATTTACCCTTATTTACCATCCATAATCATGCTCTAAGATTGGCTTCATTGGTGGGTGATAAACCGGAATTTTGCATAATTATATGGGTTTTGATTATTATAAAATTAAGACAAAATTGAATTAAACCGATTGTTTCACTTAATCTAAAACGACACAACTAAAAACCATGTCTCTATTTTCACTTCTACTTTGATTCTGATTTAACTATAAATGGTAACCGATTTAACTCTCAATTGAAGAGCTGGTTGGTAAGGACTGTTAACTGTAGACTTTTGTTGTAAATTTTTAGCTCTAGAAAAAATGGTTGTAAGAACTGTGACTATTACTTTTAAATATTAACAAAGTCTGATTGATTAGTAAAACTAAAAATTGTAGAAGCTGTTACGGTTACTAATTATAAATTTATATTAAAAATGTAAATTATGCCAAATTTATATCCGGTTATATATACTGTTGAAACTTTGACCGTTAAATATATATTTTTAATCAAAAGTATGATTATGTCATATTTGAATCTATATATTAGTCAATATTTAAAATCTTTTGATAATTTCAAAATTTTGGAATAATTTTGTGAAATTAATATTTTTTAATAAAATATGAGAAACTAGATGTTAAAAAAACAAGAAAAAATTAATCATAATCAATTAGTCAAAATTTGTTTGAGATAAATATAGTATTGTTTCATAAAAGGTTTTTTTTTATTTGGAGAGAAGAAAAAGAACAATAATGATAAAAAAAAATCTTACAGTCGCTTAGAAGTCTCATTTATGTGACTTTTTTGACCTAAAAAAAAATGTGACTTTAATAAAAATAAAAGTTTTAAAGAGTGAAAGAAACAAAGTTGACAGGTAGACTGTAGAGAAGAAAAAAGATGAAAAAGTCTGATTGGTTAAAAACTTACTATAAGAACTGTAAAAAAATGGACCTAGTTTCTCTCTAAAAGAAACCGCCGCTGTACTGTAGCAAAACTCAAGCTTTGTCGATCTTGGTCCCGCGACCAGCGGTTTACACAGCGCTGGTGCCGGTCCCTTTGTTTCTATACTTATGCTTTCTTTTCGTCGGTTCATTCTCATCGGATTTCGCAGAGGTTTTGATGAGTGGGTTAGATGCGGTTCTCGAAGTTTGTGGTGGTGAAGCCTTGGGTTCCGATCGGCTTGAGATCCGGTTGGTGTTTGAAGATTTACTGGTTCGGTTTGTTTCTGCGAGGGGTTTGCTTGGGTTCGGTTTCATCGNCCTCGAGTCCTTTCTGCTTTGGCTTCTGTGCCGGTCTTCTTTCGCCNGAGGTTGATGCTTCTCGGCGGGCGTTTTGGTCTTGGCTACATATCCGCGGTGGGGATGTGATNTGAGTTCGTCGTCTTCGTCTGGTGGAGATGGTNAGTTTGGGTCTCCGAGCACTTAGGGCTTGGGTCTTGCTATGGGCNTTTGGTTTGGNCCTTTCATGGGCTTGAGGTTGGGGTTTGTATTATGGGTTCACGGTATAGTCCACCCTTCCGTCTCGTTGGGTTTGTTTCGCTGCTCCCTCTTTGCGTTACTGGTTTAGGCTTCTTGTTCCNTATGATTTTGAGTTTNGATAGGTANCCGACTTGGTTAGGTTGTATCTTGACAAGCTTCTCTGTTTACTTGTGTGTATGGTTTGTCTGAGTTAAGGTTCTTTTAGGCGAGGAGATGTGCTTGTTGTTGGTCCCAGGCGTTTGTTTGTGGTCTATGATTTTGGTTCAGAGATTTGTTTGGTGTTCTCGTTTAGACTCGGTGGTCAGGTTATTAGTGTCTTGGCATCGCTGTCTCCTCTGTTTNNCNGTGTCTTTNGNGTGACTACTCGNCGNTGNTTCTCTGCTTTGTTGCNNTTATCTCNCTNCGNTCTTATCCNCCTCTTCTGTCTGCTGGTTAAGTTAGTCCTAGAGCCGCGTTTTGGTTCTCCTTCTCTGGGTGTGCCTCAAGGTTTAGGTTTTGTTCTTCCTTATGTTATTTGGCTCAGTTGTGGCATCACCTTCCTATGGGTANTGTGTGGGTGTGCTATTGGTTTCGTGGTTTGAACTTGGGGTTACTTCTTTGCTTTCCTTCTTAATCAATTACCTTCTCTCATTTGTATTTAGCTTTTTATGTCTCCTAAAGACAACGATTTGTCTCTATGAAAATATTTGTTTCCTTAGGCTTTGCTGATGATGTTGTAATGGGTCTATCGTGTATCATGTTCAGATTTTTTTCTACCATTATATATATATTTCAGATGACCAAAAAAAAGACTATAAAAAAAAATAAAAGTCTTGACAGTCTTTATGCCAATAACCTCCGAATCCGATTTCTGACTATGTCCAGATTTCTTTGTATGTAAATTATCTTCTAACATATTCGCATTGTATTTTGGTTTTTGTGTTTTAGGTTCCCTCGTAGAATTGACTACTTTTATGTTTCAACGTTGATATTTCCAAGGAATCCAGTATTTTAGAGCATCCAAACTTGCTTTTTTTGAGTTCCTCTCCCAGTAGTTGTAGTTCTCTTTTTTTTATCATACTATAAAAAAAAAGCATAGTCAACGTAATTAGAATATTATTAACTCAAGACAATTTCATTGGCCCATGTAATTAGAATTTTTCAGCAAGACAGATTCATATATATGGGGTTTGTAATGACATTGTATGAACTTAATCTAAAGAGTTGTCAAAAAGAGGCAACTCTTCTTCTGCATCATTTTATGATTGAATCAAATATTTACTAAGGTGACAATCTAAAGTTTTCATCTTTCACAGATAATCTATTTCTCTTTATCAATTGTTGTTTTGTTTTAATAAAGCTCTTTTAGAGCACAAATCTATTTTAGTTAGATTTTATTGACATGGTATCAGAGCATAGGCAATTCATTAGGTTTTAACCTCACCAAGTTTATGTCTTTCTCCCTTCATATCGCCAAATCCAAATCTCTTTCTCTTAAAGTCGGAACCTTTAAGCAATTTTAACTTTCTCTAACATTCTCACGACTGAAAGTAGAGACTTTTTTTTCTATGAAGCTAAGAAATCTACTTGGCTTATCTCTATCCTTTAATGGGCACAAGAAAGTTCAAATCTTTGAGCCT